CCTATCCAATAAAGTCTGGTGAGGAAGCACTGCTGTTTGATGCAAAAGGAGTAAAGGTCTAGCTCAGAGCTACTGCAGAAACACAGCAGCAGCAACACCTAAATGCTCTTCCTCCCTGCAGCTGCCCATGCCCTGCACACCTATACAAGGTCACCTCCTCCCCATGTGCCAGGTGTGGCTGCCACAACCCTACACCAGCAGCTGAAAGCTCAGCAACCTTTCAGCCTTACACATTGGGAAAAACCACAACATAATGAAGTCACACACAGGCATGCAGCAGCCACACGTTACACCCTATTACACTGGAAACAGACATTAATTGTGGAAGCATGTAATTTTTACTCAGTGAGCTTTTGCTTAGGTACCTCAGCTATTTTAGCTCTTCTTCCAGAAGACATCAAATAAGCTCATCCTTTGCTACAGAATTACCTACAGAACACAGATGAGATAGCCAAGTGCAAGGTTCACCCCAGCAATGTCTTCATCATAGAAAGGCCAAAGGGAATGAATGGGACTTAAGCTTTTAATACCAATAAAAAGCAAACTGGATTAAATTTAACTAAAATTTATTTTTCCAAACACAGCCTAAAGGAAAAAACCTATGGCCAAACAATAATTCTTCCTCACAGAAAGCTAATGAACATAACTTCATTCCAAGAACTAGCTCCTGGACACCAGGAGACTGGTAGATTGTTGCAAGGTTTGTCTTCCCAAATGTACTTATATCAGCAACATCTTAAGAGTAACATCACATAAAAGAAAAAGGCTATTTCAGTTTTATTTAGTTCTATTTTTACACACCTTTTTTCCTCCCTTACCTTCCTCTATCACTTGTTACTGGCCTTTGACTGGGATATGTGTCCTCACTTGGGAGCACTGCCTAGCACACCAAGTTACACCTTGATTGCAGACATATATACTGAGGAAACTGATCTACCCTCAAAAATTGCACAGATATAGGTGTGCAAAAATCCACAATCGATCAAAACAAGCTCATCCAATTTACTGTGCCATTTCCTGCAGTTATTTTGAAAGGCAGGAAGCTCACAGAGAAGCCAAGCAGCTACACAACATCCATGGCACTGTACAAAGCTTGCATTAATACTGCCTACACTAATCAACTTTCCTAACCTCATAGGTATTTTTCCTGAGACAGCTGTAGAGCATCAGCATCCAGAGCTATCAGTCTCTGTTCTCACAGGCAGTGCAAATCAAATACTTTTCTCAGCATCCAATTCCTGGCTAGCAGGCACGGCTTCACACTCCTTAAGGCATTCCACACACTCTTGGTGCAACATTCCTGTTTTACTTCCCTTGGTCACAAGGGGAGAGGATCTCTGCAATAGTCTTTCCAACAGCAGGTGAGGATGTAACAGCAATCACCTTCATGGTGCAACTCCAAAGTGACTCTACTGAACTCATAGGATAATCCCAGTATACTGAAAAAAAAGTATTAAGCCAGCTTCAAAAAGCCTCCTTCAAATACCTCATTGTCCTCCTGAACCTCACTTCAAAATTTTTATTTTTTTTTTTCCAATTTGAAAAACAGGCTGCCTTCTACATTTAGAGGGAATTCTACCATTATGACATGTAACATTTTTGGCTCCATAGCCAAGAAGGAGAAGAAGTCAAAGACAAGAAAGACTAAAGTAATTATGAGTCCTAGAGGAAAAATCATGTAGATAAAATTTACTGATTTTACATTTAATATTGATCTTCGAGACATGGAAGGCAAAAAAAAAACCCCCTCTGTTAACGTATCGTATGAAATTCACCACTTAGGAGGATTTAACAAACTGTACAGTCTGTATGAGCTGCTGAAAGTGAAGAAAGTGCCTTTAATTTCTCTGAGCACCTTGACAGTGCCTGGCTGTATCTTCATAGAGTTTAGGAATTCACAAGCTCTTGTTAAGACACAGGACTGTATTTCCTAAGCTGAATAATTCCTCTCAACGGCTCCAAGTACTACTTCAAGTAGAAAGAGGCTGCAAAATTTCCCTATTGACTAGGAGCCTGTTAAACAAATGTATATATAAAAAAACAAACAAAAAAGTGCCAAAATCAATGTTGGCATAAAAACCCTGAAATCAATGTATGCTTGACACAGAACAAATCAGTTATGCAGCAATTAAATGCACAACGTAAGAGGACTGTAAAATACCAGTTTGCTTTAGCAAGTATGGTCGCTTGACGCCAAGTACATCAGACAATAAAAATAAATCTTATCACATATCTCAAATTCAGCAAGGCTTATCTGGAACAATGCCTGGAAAGCCTGCAGCATGCCCATCACTCTGGAAGATGCCCAGCTGGAGATGGTGGAAAAACTGGGCACAGGTACCCAGGTGAACCAAGCTAACAGAGATCAACTTCCTTTGTCTCAAATCACAAAAGATGAGCAGGATGTTGAAAAGTGGCAGAATATAAATAACTAAGTACAGGTCACCCATTTGCAGGAAATCTTTTCTTTACTCATTTTGAATATGCAAATCAAGGGTAATGAAAAGATAAAACCAATACCACATATATCTTCCAGGTTTTATTTTCAGGTTGTAAAAGCATTCACTCTGAAAATTAGAATTTCCTGGGATTTAACAATAGTTGGGTTAATAGCACTGGGCAAAGGCAGTTATACCTAGCCCATAATTTCACCCACATAAAATGTACCTATCTGGTAGTGATGTCTCTTCAGGATATTGTCAACAGGATCAGCCTTAAAAAACAATACTGTTTAGAAGTGATAAACCCCTTCCCACAGCTAATGTTTCCATGCAGGTTTGCATCAAGGAGCCAGGATGGATTACTTTGAAATGTACACCCTGCATCTGTGCATAGTCACAGACAGAAAGCACTTCAAGTCAGTCTCCTCAGCTGACTATCTTCTGAGGATGCCTTTCTCCCTCTGCCCCAGTACCTCTTCACACACATCTTTTAGGCTCAGCTTATGTAGATATTCTATGTCTACATAGGCAAAAATTGTGCAGTTTGCAAAGAAATCAGATTTTTCCATCACCACTGCAGGACTTCTCCAATTCTGCATTAGGGAAAAACACTCCACCAAAATGAAACATGAGAGCATTGCACCAATATGCTCATGCTAGCTGTGCACACACATGCATTTTCTGTCCTCTAGGGAAGATATTTTAACTTGCCTTAATCCTTCCCATCCCTCTGTTCTGTACTGATATCAAAAAGGGTCTCTCAAACCACCCTGCAAAGGGAACAGCCCCTAGTGAAAAACTGCAAACTCCCTTCCAAATTCACCAGAAGGCCAGCCCAGCCAGACCCAGGACAGATTATCCAGGGAGGATTGCCACCAGCCATCCTCAGAGAGCTCACTATCACTAACGGTGCTGCTATATTAGCAGATCTGCTTTTAGGAGCACAAGGATGAGCTTCTCATCAGCTTCTTACTGCCAAGGAAAGGCTAAAGAGGCTAACCCCAAACACTACTTCCCTCCTTTTCTTGATCTGCATGACATTTTTTAACAGCTGTCTGATGCAAGCATTTCACATGAGACAACCATATTTTCACCATCATCCTTTCCCTATTGTCACAAATAAGATGTGGTGAAGAGGCACTATTTTTTGTATTACATCACAGGCAGAGTCATATTTCACTATATACTTAGGTTTCAAGCTTATCCCTGACGCTGTGCAGATTATGTTTAGGCTGAGAGCAGATTACTGGCATAAACCAAAACATTATCTAGGCTGCACACACATTCACTCTAGAAAATTTCCAGAGCTCTCTGGACTAGGGATGAGAAATTAGTCTCTTATGGAATCCTGAAAAGTATCTGAGAAACATTTGTTTGCTTTGGCCAAGAAGAGACAGAATGAAAAATACCCTCTCAATTTCAGTTACATGTCCCAACACGCAGCAAAAGATGCCACTGCATTCAATCCAATGTGTCTTGCAGCAACAACGAGTTGGGTTTTTTTACTTAATGATTCAAAAAATAAACATGCACACACACACACACACACAGAGCCACCAAGATATCTCTTACACTGAAGTGTACAAGTACCACCCAGGACTACCCAAAAAATCTCAGTAAACATTCCTAATGAATGTTTTTTAAGGCCTTCTTAAAACTCAAAACTGCTACTCAAGGTAGCAGTTACAGAAAACAAGGTCATCAGGCAGGCACAGCAAAAAAGAGAGATAGCAAAGGAGCTTGATGCCTTATCAATGCTAGAGGGTTCTGAGGGGAAGAAGGCATAGTCAGAAGAATTATCCCTATCTTGATTAGCATCAGAACAAAGACTCACATTAGTTTGTCTGCACTAGGACTCCCCTAGAGCACTGGATAATAATCTCGTTGAAAGCATTAAAGGGATTCCCTCCCCACTTCACCCCCCTGCAATCTACACCCCTTCTCTAAAGGGGGATAAAAGGATGAGGTCCAAATAACAGCTTTATGTTTAATTCTCTGGAAGACATATTTGGGTAGCTTTTTACAACTAAAATATCAAATATACAATACACAAGTAAGATCCTTCTGTGATAGGTTTTCAAAGGTAACATTTAGGAGCAGGTAGGGGTCAAAAAAATCAAAACAGAACCTATTTTTTGTTCAAGAGAAAAGGTCAGATAGCACAGGTGACTTATCATGCATGCTTTACTCTGGAACACAGGAAGGACTTCAGTAGTTTCTTCATCAAAAATCAGGGAGTGGTAAAGGAGTGAAGAATACAAGGACAAAAACCACAGCTTGTGGCATCTGAACACCATAAAAATCAGGTTAACAGCAGTGTCAAGAAAAATGCTAAGGCAAGTCTACAAAGGAATGAGAACCTAAGAACATTTTAGAATACTTCCTGTTTCAAAAGCTAGAGATGATAATACCAGTGGCTCTCTCACTGCAGGATGAGAACACGGAAGGCAGCACAGTCTGCCTTCAGTTTACAGAAGTGTCATGGCATTTGGACAAAATGCAGGTTTTAAAAGCAAAAACTCAAGAAAAACAAAGTAACAGCATCAGCTTTCACCTTACCTGGTATTGACACAGGCTGGTATACAACGGTTGTCAAGATTAAACTGATGCTTCAGTGATGATAGGTTGATTCACACACCTAAAACTGCACAAAAAAAAAGTAGGTATTAGCCCTGTAAGTACTAAGAATGGCACTCTGTCACATGATAGAGCAGGAAGCTTGAGGGTAGAAGTAGCTCTATTATGTTTTTAGGACACAGGCACACAGCTATGCTTCAGGTACAGACATTACTCACAAAGTTCAGATCTGGGTCTGAGATACACTGCACAAGCTACTCAAAATCAAAGAATATGCAAACTATCCTCACACATTTAAAAATCCTGAAAATAAGAAGAGAACAGTTTTAAGTGTAGCAGAGCGTTACCAAAAACATTTTTCAGCAGCACTCAAGCTTACTTGATTGTTTGGGTTTTTTTCAGCAGGACAGAAACTTCCCAAAAGCTATCCAAAATACCCATACTAAAACTGCATCAAATACATCTAAATACAACTAAAACTGCATCAGATACACACATGCACTTTCAGTGACTGCACATATTGCATACTTCCCAGATAAGCATAGGAGAAATTTATTTCTACAGTGCCAAAATTCACAGGTACGTTTTATTGCCTCACCAACATATCCAACTTCTTTACGCAGCATTACTACTAAAAATTCCAATAATTAAAAAGAGGGTTATTGATAAGGCAACTTTCTCTATTTTGAAAGTACAACAACAGAGAACTGGGAAAACTGGTCATCCAAGTGAGAGCAAAAGCCTTGCAGCTGAAAGGAGTTTTTGTCTAGCCTGCTTAAAGATCTGCTTTGCTGCTAAACATTTCATTGTCACATTTAAATGTCAGCTTTTTAAGTCAAAGAAGTGTACAATCCCTGCAAGACAGGAAACCACAAACAGACTTGAGATGAAGGTTCTCACAGCTAATGAAATGAAAAGTAAACCTAGCATAACAAACTGCTCTTCACATCTCTGATATGCTTACAAAAAGACACAAACCCTGATCTTAAAACTTTGCTCCCCATACCCATGAAATAATTTTTAATTAATCTCTGATAGTAAGTTTATGTGGTTTTCTAGTCTACTTATAGATCAAGGCAAAGCTTGCAATGAGTCTCCAGCACACTTTTGTTGCATATCACAGAATGAGTCTGCAGCATTTCAGGATCACACAGCTCTTTGCAATAGTCCTTTAACTTACGAAGACATACTACTCGATTTTCCTAAGGGGAAAACAGGGCCCTCCCTTTCCTGAAGCAAGCAGCATGCCCTTTTTGGACTTTGAAAAGGAGTGAGGGGCCCTCAGAGAGAAGCTGGCTTTAAAGCTTTCAGGCTGATCGCACATATGGCCACTGGCGAGCCAGTGGCATATGCGGCAGCAGATGGAGAAGTGAAGCTTTCATACCCTCTGAGCAATGCTCTGCAATTTTGACACTTCTCTTGAAAAGCAGTTATGTCAATCACCCTCCCAGGCTGGTGTTTTGGCACAGAAGAGGTTCTCCTCAGTCTGCGTACCAACACCAAAGGATAACCTACACAGGGTATTTTAGAGGCAGTTTCTGACTTAGCTTTCAAATATAATGAATCCATACACAGCAGAGAATGATAAATTACTGTTGTTTTCACTGCACATCAGCTGGCTTTCAGCTCATTAGAGAGCAACACATACCCAGTATGCATTCTTTCCTTTAAAGGAGGGATGGGGGAGGTGTTTTAATTAACATTACAGCACCTTACTAGGTTTAACAAATAAAATGCCTTTTGAGAGTGGTCAGCACAAATGGGCTCCAATACCCGAAGGGGATTCTGGCACATCACCCAATAAAACTGTATTATTGTGGGCTGCTCTAATATATTGTCCTTGAAGAATTTTAATAAGTTATTTACAGAGAAAAGAAAACCCAAAGAGTCTAAATAGGTCAAAGACATTGAAGCATTTCACTAATTTATAGGTTTAACACTACACAGACAAACTACAGCTCCTTTCAAAACAAGCAGCCTTTGACAGCTACTGGTAGAAATCACATTACTAATCTAGCTATTGAAAGATCTGCATTTTTATATAAAGTAAGAACATCTTTCTCAAGCTCACTTACAGAAATTGGGGGATTTGGAAGGATGTTGTTTGGCTTTGGTTTGCTTGGCCTTTTTTTAAAGACCGACTTATCAGCAGAGTTTCCCTCTTTGTACCCTTCACAGTCCTGCAGAAAGAGATCCAGTATAGCAACATAACTTCTTTTCTATCTTCAATCCCAAACAAGCTGCAAACTTGGTTTTGATTACAAAGTCTTGCAATTCTCACTCATTTTTTTACAAAATCCCATTAAATCAATGCAAGGAATAAACAGGAACAGCAGTGAAGCACAGCAATATTATAAACTGTGAGGAAAATTAGTTGAGGAAAAATGTAAATGGCTTTGAAGATTTCCAAATGGTCCTGGCACTTCTGAATTGTAAGCTAAGGGAGCTATGAACAGAGAGTACTGAACAGTACTGAAGCTAGTTCACTTCTGAACATGAGGTTAAAATGCTGCACATTTCAGCCCTGCAAAGTTCAACTGCCTACAAGGAAGTTACTCCTATGGCAAGCATACACTGTGAGAATGAAAGCCATTCTATTCTACAGCACAAATATGTTGTGGTGGTTTATTAACCACATAAAAGTGATTCTGGTGGGCTGGCTGCCAGGACAGCAGTTCCCTCAGGGGATCACCAGAGTGACACATACATCCTTTGTGCTGCAGAGAAAGTTCTCCATGTGCACTCCACTTTTGGAGCATGCCCACTGTCCAGCACACGGGGAAAGACAGAAGCTGGGGGGACAACTGAGACAGTGGGAAAGAAGTAGGGGTTTTACATCTCTAACTCCTGGTCCTGCAGCTCTTCAGTGTGAACTTCTTCAAAAAACTGTCTTGAATTACCACACACAAATATTTTAAATAAATAAATAAGCAAGCAAACAACAGGCCAGGCTTTCACTGGTCTCTTATTAGCATCACTATGCTTAGTCTGAAAACAGACTTTGCAGACTGCATCGTGTAGTAAGCCATGTGAGAGCACTAAGCTTCCTGAGAGTAGTAGCTGCCACAGCTCAGTAACAAAACAGCCAGCATACGAATGGCAGATGAAAACTTTTTCTGGTACATACGAAAGCTCACTTCCTGACATTTATAGGAAATATTTCTACTGATTAAACTTAAAATCAATTTTTGCAGCTGCAAAAACAAGACTTCTAGCAGAATCAGAGGGAGATACTGTCTGTGTAACTACAGACCAGCAAAGCCTGATTAATTAAGCCTGATGGCTTACAGGGTGCTTCACTGAAGTCATCTACCTGTTCTCAACTGCTACACTCTGTGCTGGACGTTAAATTGTAACATCTGAAATAATTCCATCTGTACCCAGCATAACTTAATGACAAGGGATTAAACTTGTATGATGGCATTTCTAAGGACATGAAGCTTGTCAAGACAACTAGATAAATATAATTACAGACTACAGTATTTTGGCAAAAGAAACCTACTGTAAGTAATACCACAATACCTTTGCTATATATGGGTTAATTTTTCCCTTTCCCTGTTCAAGGAAATGCCTTCATGTTTCTATTTACATATTCCTAAAGCAGAATTCAATCTCTGCTGCCTCTCCTCCCTCCTTCCCAGTCTTGTGGGACTAACCCTGCTAGTGAAAGATGCCTCTCCCAGCTAAGCCTGATCAGCTGGGATCAGCTGGTTACAGCAGCTGACAAGTGGCTCAGAGGGCAGAGGAGCTGCAGGGAGTTCCTGTGCCAAGCAGAGTGCACAGAAGGACACAGTCCAGGAAACTCTGGAGCAAGGCCTCCAAGCTACTGTGCTTTCATGCAGTTACTCATAGATAATGGGCTTCTCTGGAACCATCTCAGGCAAGCAAAAGGAGATGCAACTTTTAAAAGGAAAAAAAACCAACAAAACAACAGCAGTGGCCTGACACAGACCCCAAGCGCAGCATCCAACCTTCCTGGACTGACAGAGGCCAGTAACTTACATTTGTTTGCTCACAGAAGCAGAACAAGCAAGAGACTTGTTTGGGCAGTACAGCAGTAGACAGCTGTGGTGTGAGCAAGTACACGGATAAAAAGCAGAAGTGACGCAACAGGAGCAGTCTCAGAAACCCAAATCTATGGTTATGATGTTGCACAGAGGAGGTAAGACCATGGCAGGCTGCTCTAACCCAGAGTTGCAACAATTCTCCAGGCAAAAGCAAAGTAGCAGAAAACAGTCATGACCCCAAGACAGAAAGAATTCCATCCAAACCACGACACTCCGGGCAGGATGCACATTTAGTGACTGCAGTTACCATTACTTGCTGACTGCCCAGGCAGCTGTGCTCAAGCAGCCATTTCAGTCCACCTTTACCCGCTGCACTAAATATAAACTGCTGATAACTCTGTGGAAACTGTTTCAGCAGAGACACGCAGCACTGCACAACTCAAGGACACTGGGTCCTCCTCAAAGTTCACAGGTGGTCAATTTGCATGACAAGCAGAGAGAGTGGGGACAGGCCCCAAGTCTCTGCTACACTAGTCTTTGGGAAATTTCTGCCTCGAGACCAGTACTTTCCCATACTTCAGAGTCATCTGCCTTTAAAGAGGATATGGGGGCATCTGGGTTTTGACAATAACTTACAGCTCCCTTATCATGTGCTACTTCGCTCTACAATGACCTTCAATTTTAAAATCTAGTTCGATTAAGTTAAGTTTGATCTTTCAAGCACGTCCTTCACCCAGTGGCTCTTAAAGAAACACACTTTTCTACTTTCAGATGGTATTGTCTTTTGGAATGGTTCACAGAACACCCATTTAAATAATAGCACAAGGCAATGTAAGAAGGAAGATGAAACTGCAAACAAGAAAAAGAAGGTTTTTCTCCAAGATTTGCTTAGAGAATTACTACCAGAAACAACGTGGAAGTTACAAAGGCAGAAGTATGATCTGTAAAGCTGCCAGTGCCACAACTGGCCACCAGATTACACTACTAGAAAGGATTATTCTCTCTGCATCAAAACGTACCCAAAATAATAGCATGTCATGAAAAAAAGAAAAGGAAACAG